AGCAGTATGGAGGTTCCTTAAAAAATTAAAAATAGAATTACCAACATGATCCAGCAATCCCACTCCTGGGCATATATCTGGAGAAAATTCTAATTCAACAAGATACATGTACCCCAATGTTCACAGCAGCACTATATACAATAGCCAAGACATGGAAGCAACCTAAATGTCCATTGAAAAATGAATGGATAAAGAAGATGTGGTATATATACACAATGCAATACTACTCAGCCATAAAAAAGCAGAAAATAATGCCATTTGCAGCAACAAGGATGGACCTAGAGATGATCATACTTCACTTCACAAGTGAGTAAGTCAGAGAAAGACAAATATCATATAATATCACTTATATGTAGAATCTAAAATATGATACAAATAAACTTATTTACAAAACAGAAACAAGACTCACAGACATAGAAAACAAACTTACAGTTACCAAACGGGAAAAGGTTAGGGGAAAGGACAAATTAGGAGTTTGGGATTACCAGGTACAAACTACTATATACAACATAGATAAATAACAAGATCCTACTGTACAGCACAGGGAACTATATTCAATACCTTGTAATAAACTATAATGGAAACTAATATGAAAAAGAATATATATATAACTGAATCACTTTGCTATACGACAGAAACTAACCCATTGTAAATCAACTATACTTCAATTTAAAAAATAATATAAATGTGGCTTTTCTTAAAAACAAATACTTACCTATAACCCATCTGGCTCACTCATGTAACAATACATACACAAGCCGAGCACAGGCAAGTTAACGGTTTACAGTAGGGTTTTTTTTTGATGGTAGTTGTTTTTTCAGTCCTAGGTGCCTTTCACACCCCATCCCCGTCTCCTACTTCTGAGCTGGTTTGGGGTGGAAAGGGGGAAAGAGAGAACTGAGGCTTTGATAAAATATTCAGCTTACACTGAAAAATAATAGGACCATGGTGTCATATTTATAACTTGCTCAGGCCAGATTGGAAGATGCTGTGGGGTCTGGGCCCTCTCGGTGGGCTGGGAGGTGTGCTCTCAGTGGCTTGTAGAGTCATTGGCACTGCCTGGACTTGTAAGGAATAAGGGTCCTTCCATCCCTCTAGAAACTTGGCTCCTAGAAGTTGACTGCTCTGTTCCTACAACCTGGGAGGCTGAATTCTTGCTGCTTGATTCCAAGGCAGGCTGCAAACCAGCACAGGTTGAATCATTATTCGCACGTGACTCTGACTGCAGTGGGGAGCCGGCTGGAGGTGGCGGGCCCTCCCTGGGGAGCCTGACACTCCAGGAAACTGGGCCAGCTCCCTAGCAGCCTCCTCTCTCCCGGCACCAATGGCGCAATAAAGGATGAATGGAGCAGGAAGCCGCCACCCTGAAGCTCTATGTTCCTGAGCAAAACGTAGCTGCCAAGGGGCTGCAAATAGAGAAACCTGGGGTGGTGTTAAAGGAATATTCCCAGTGGGGAGGCTGGAGCGCTTGTCTGACAAGCATTTGTTCACCGCATTCATCTGATTACTCAGGACTTTTCTTAGTCAGTCCTGGAGCAGAGAGGGGTTGCCATTGCTTTTCATTCTATTTAATTTCTGTTTTCCAAGAATGAATATCAAGGGAGCAGCTTTGATTAAACAAGCCTTTAAAAAGGCGAGAGAATGCCAGGTTTTACAAAAAGCTTTGCTGAGTCTCTGGCAAATGGCCACATGACACAAGATTTTTAGTCTATGGATATTATCTCCTTTCTGAGTACAAAACTGCTATTCCCATTAACACAAGCTTGTAGGCTCAGGGATAAGGGAAATTAGCCTGGCTCTAAAAGAAAAAGAAAAATCAGGATTCCAGGAATCAGCCTCTTAATAAAAATTTAAAAGAAATTCCCTATGTTCCAATTCTACAGTTCTCTGCCCTTTCTGTCTGCTGCTGTTTCTTTTTTCTTGCTTGCTGAGACTGTAGGCAGAGCTGGGGAAGGTTTCATAACCACGTCTAGCATTACCAGATCAAAACAGATTTTTTAAAAAGGTTGGCAAGATTGTTGATGTTGCCTTTTGTTTTAAGATTCTTTAAGGTGGGAACACACTCGTCTCAGATGGGAAACGGGCGAGAAGAAAGCCCCAGTATTTAACATTGAACAAATACTTATTGAGCATCTACTATGTGTTAGGCATAAGGATACAGCAGTGAGTAAAATGAAGCCCTTTTCCTTCACATTCTAACTGGACAGTAGTCGTTAACGCATACGGAGGGCTTACCACTGCTAGGCACTCTTCTAGAACTCGACATGCTCACCCCATGGGGCCCTGTTACTCCTCTTTGTTGCACAAGTTCTCACAGCTGGAAAGGGGGGGAACCAGGACTTGGATTCAGCAGTCGAGCTCCAGAACCACCACACTTCACTCAACTGCCCCCATTTGTGACTCTTGTTCCAGATGGGTCTAAGAGTCCTCCTTCTCTGCTCCTATCATATCCTATAGTTATCCCTCCTGGAACACCTGTCCCCCATCTCCTTTGTACGTTCCTCCAGTTGACCCTCATCTTTTGGAGACCAGGGCTGTCTCTCATCTCTGTATCCCAAGATTTTCTACTGTTTGGGACCAACTGGATCTGGGGACCTATCTTCTAGAGCATTTCAAAACACAGAGGGAAAGGCTTCCGGATTCAGGTGTATATAGTAAATGCCCCCAGGGATCTATCAACCCTGCCACTCCTGTCCATCCAGCTCGTGCCTCTGATCTGTGGATGTGGGAGGATTCTCTCACAGAGCCAGAACATCTCCGTGTGCTCCAGTTTCAGGCCCAGGCAGTGAGATGGAGAGTTGGTGGGGGGCTTGGGATTTAAACATCACACCTTTGAGCGCAGCCAAGTTGCTCATACAATTTGGGGGTGGGGGGAGAAGGGTGCTTTTTAGTATTGCCCAAATATTTCCTCTAAAAAATCAGCTGAGAGCATCTAAGTGACCAGCAGAAAAGACTTAGGAAAACAAGCCCTTACAGTAGAATGTCATGTCATCATTACCCAACCAGACTGTAAAGTAAGATTTAAGAACATGGGCAAATTCTCAAGCTATAAATAAAAAGGACAAAATACTACAATTTTGCTTAGAACACCACCTCAATTTTTTGGAGGGTGTATGTTTGCATAGAAAAGAACAGAAGGCTATTCATGAAAATGGAGAGATTTGACAGGTGACTAATATTGAGTTTCTTTTTTATACTTTTCTATCTTTCGCAATTTTTGTGTTAAAAATATGTTCATTACAACTAGAAAAATGTTATTAAATAATAAACAGAAAGTAAACACTTTCGGAAAACGGTTTAAAAATCTTATATTGGCCCCAAAGGAAAGCTTTCATCTGTTTTCTGTGTATTCTCTCTTCTCCACGGGGAGCCCAGCTGCCATCACAACACAGCAAATCACTGGGTTGGAAAGCTTGGCTGGCGTTTCCTTTGATTCTAGACTTCAGGGGCTGTGGCTCTGTTGCAAAACCTCCACTTACGATCTGATCCAGAGATCATCCCTCATCCCAGTGGGAAATAATGAAACCTGCTACTCTTAAAGCCCTGTGGAATAAATGGCTATAAATACGTAAGCCTCACGTGTGGCTACAGCACTTCGCATTTTACGGCGTGCATTCTAATTTAATAGTCACGATAACACAGAGGAGCCATTGGTGGTCTCATCTCTAAATTACAAGCAAGGAAGGGACTTGTCCCAGGTCCTGAGGTGAGACCCAGAACTGGGACGCAGCTCTCCGGATCCAGGGCCGTCCCTTTTTTCTTGACTCCATCATGGGAGCCCAGAAGCAATCCTGTTGTGTACCTGTGGATGGATAGGGCTGGGCCTCCTCTGGGCCGGCCCTCAGTGGGTTGTGCAAATAAGCCTGTGTTCCCATTAGAGTAAGTGATGTTGGGCAAGAGGTCCACAAGAGAGCTGGGCTGGGCACTGGAACCAAGAAGGACAAAGACTCTCAACTCTCCAAGATATGTGAAGACTTGACCAGAGGACATGACCCTGAGATCAGATGTTAAAGAGCTCTTCTGTATCCCCAAACCAGCTCCAACTTGAAAGTTATGCCCCGCTAAGTTTCCTTCTCTTTCACATGTTTCTCTTTCCCTTTCCCTTTCATCATTTCAATGAGCGATGCTTGTGAATATTTTTGCACCCCGTTATATCCTGAGTTCTTTTCAGGGAAGAGACCAAATTGTATTTGCTTTAGGACTGTCCTATTTCCTAATGCATGGGAGCTGTGTTGAAACAGTGTTAGTTAAAGCCAAGACATAGAAGCAAAGCTTGAAGTTGTCCTAGGACACAGAAGTGAGAATACAGTGACAAAAATAAGGAGACTGAACTTAGAAGCAGGGGATCATTCTGTAATTGAATGATCCAGTGACCAGCTTCTCAGGGTGTGGCTGATCAGAGTCAGAGGCTCAGACCAACTGATTCAGAACCTTCTTGAATCAAGAACCATGAGGTCCAAGAACTGCCAATTTGGGTCTCATCCTGCTACATCAAAAATATTCCACGGAGTGGGGGTTGAACCAAAATGTTCCACAGAGGGCGGGGTTGAGCCAAGATGGTGGAGTAGAGAGAGAATTACAGCTCATCCTCTCCCACAAATACACCAAGAATTACATCTGCAAACCCACTGAATCGCACAGAACACCTACTGAACTCTTGCAGAGTGTCTCTCACTTTGAAATACAGGAGGATTCCCACAAAATCCAATAAACAACAAGTTTATACTGTATAGCACAGGGAACTCTATTCAATATCTTGTAGTAACTTATGGTGAAAAAGAATATGAAAAGGAATATATGTATGTTCATGTACGACTGAAGCATTGTGCTGTATACCAGAAATGGACACAACATTGTAGACTGACTATACGTCAATGAAAACAGACATGTAAAAAAATGTTCCATGGGGCCATGGATATAAAATGGGACCCGAACAAACTGATCTCCTGGGGAAAGATGCATGGATCTGCTCAGTTTTATTTTTCCCCCTTGTTTTTTAGTATTTCCTGATTTCTCCTTCAAGCAGTTTCAGAGTATCTGCTAATGGAACTCTCTCCTCCACGACAGAATTTGACTTTGAAGCAGGACACAGCAGGTAGCTTTTGCCGATGACCTGGCTTGAAGTACCTTTTACCTGAGGGTCAGGGAGCAGGCGGAGTGCAGCCTGAGGGCAGCTGGGGAGGCCCTGAGAGGTCTGTGCTCTAGGATTCTGCCTGACTGCAGAATCAGGGTTAGAGGACAGTGAGCTCCAAAGAGGAACAGGGGGAAAAGCAAGTATCTGGGAGGCCTTCTTCCCTGTCTGAAATGTTCATCTCCGGATCACAAGAACAAAGACGTGGGAGAGGGCCCTGAAGCACCTGGAGGACGGCCTCAGAGGCAGCCTTCAGAGCTGTTTGCCCACATCAGAGCAGAAGGGCGGAGGCGAGCAGGCCTCTGAGGAAAGAGGGGAGGAGAGGCCGAGGTTCAACCCAGGTTTGGCTCTGAGCTCTGCACTGGATGTGAGACCAGGACTAGTTTCTTAATCCACGGCAGCCTGCACTTCCTTCCATGGGTGCACTGGGTACTTTGCAGGGATAGCGTGGGGAAGGTCAAGGGTAGAATGCAACCCGGTAGGCAGGCAAGAGATGATGGCCATGAATGATAACTCCGGGATGGGAGTAGAGGGTGGGTGTTAGGGATGGGAAAGGAGGGGGCACTCAGCAGGTCTGACTCTGCAGGGGCAGATGGAGGGGGATGGCCAGAAAGGGGACAGATGCTTTCCTCCCTCCCTCCACCCCATGCCACCCCCCTCAATGTGAGGTAGTGTCAGCAAAGCCTGACTCCCTGACTTGGGGTGTTTCCTGACAGTTACCATCTCATCGTGGAAGTCAGAGACAGCCGAGGGCTCCAAGCCTCCACGGCGCTCCAGGTGAACATTGTGAACATCAACGATGAGATCCCTCGCTTCACCAGGTAGGCCTGAGGGCACAGGGGGCTCCGCGGGCCAGGGGCACCATTGCACTTAAGCGGCTGCACCTCGTCAGACACACTTCACACCGGACAGAGGGATGCCCTTTGCCCCGGCCTAGAGCAGAGCTAAGAGGCTCCAGATCTTCAGTGTCCTTTATCCCCTCTGGACTTACATCTCCCCCGTCTGCTCCCCCTGCCCTGACGCCCCACATCCATGCGCAACACAGGATTCTGGGTGTGGTGGGGGCCAGACACGACGGGTGCAAGGCTTGCCACTGGGCGTGTAGAAGGTAGATATATCCTACATGATAGAGTGCTTACTGCTAGAACAGCAGAATCCTAGAGCGCATTGTCAGTCAAGACCCCGTGAAGCCCACCCTCAGAATGTCCTCCTCTCCAACTGAGAAGGCTGTTTCCATGGTGCCTAAGGGGTCTGCCCACTGCTCGGTGCTCTAAGTTTCTTCCTGCGGTGACAGATCCAGAAAGATCTGGTCTGTCCTACAGCCAGAAGAGGTGAGGGAGGCAAGTGAATCTGGGGGCAGCAGCCGTGGGAATGTGCCCAGCTTCAGCCCAGGCACAAACAGGAGACCAGAGCCTGTCACAGATAGGGACTCAGAGCAGGAGCTGGGATTCTGAGTTAGCATATAACCCTGCCAGCTGCCTGGCTCACTGCTTACAAGACTCTGCCTGCCCCAGCGGTGGAGTTGGGCTCGGGAGCCAGCCACGAGGAAATTGGTAAAATCTCCTGCCTGAGGGTTAACAGCTGCGAATAAATTCAGCTCAGGAGACTCCACCAAAAAAGCCACTAGGCCCCAGAACTGTGTAGAATGCTTGCAAAAGTATTCTGTGACTGGTAGGTATTAAGGACACCCCCTTCACAGACTAACCTGGTAGACTTTTGGCATAATCGTGACACTTCTGGACATGATCACAGTTGACAGCTCAGTTGCTGGGTGTCAACATGGGAGGGACTGGCCACAGAGACGTGCCCACAAAATGCTTCCCATCCATGCCTTCGCCAGGTTAAGCTCAGAGGGGTGACGCTGGGCATTTCTGCTGAGCAGCTCCTCCAGGAGAACAGTCCAACCATTTATAAATAGTCGTGACATCCCAGCCCGGATGTGGACTCAAGTATTGGCCAACTCAGCGATGTGGATTCATCAGGAATCCCCAGAGGAAGGAGATGGCTGTGGGGCTGGAGCTAACATGTTCTGCAATGCCCTCCCCACCTCCACAGTCTGTGAGGTGGGAAAGCAGACTAATGGAGCTGCAGAGGGGAAAAGGATGACTTCTCCCAAGGGCAGAACTTGTAGGCCATCTGGTTTGGCCTCTGACTTCTCAAATAAAGCCACTGGCCTCAGCAGAAAGAGAACATGACCTTGGCTGTTTGTTGGGGCCCCCAGAGATTAGTCTAGCACGCTGCTTCTCATTTTTGGTTTGAGAGATGAACCTGTTAGACTCCATCCCAGACAGAAAACATGACCTTTGTGACCATCTAACCACTTCTTAAAAAACCAGTTGACTTCATTTCAAACGCGTTCCCTGGATGTCGGTAGGGAAGGGTCTGCGAGACCCTGGGCTCTAGGAGGAAGTGGGCCAGGAGGCTGCCCTGGCCCTGGCCAGCTGCTCATTTAAAGTCACCCTAGTCCATCAGATGTCCACAGTTTCAAAAACTTTGCTCAGTTTCAAACAAGGTACTAATTTTGAGAGTTTCATGGTTCCCTTGAACTATGACCTTCTTTTCCCTCAAATCAGTGC